GGAGACCAGCGCCGTCAGCGACTCCTCCACCTGCTTGCACACGCCGTACGATGCCACCATGGCCGCGCGTCGGGTGTCTGTGACGTCATCACCGCGCTCAAGCTGAGGTTACAGGAATACCGCGCTTGCTCAAGTTACTGGCCCGACACCACACCTGCTTGCTACCTCCTGCTTCTCCTTCTCTTTCTTCCATTCTGATTCTACTCTTCCTCATGTCTCCTTTTTTTGCCTCCTACTTCTCCTCCTATTCTTCTTTTATCTCATCACCTCATTTTTTTCTTTGTTTCCTTATCCTCCTCCTCCTCCTCTTCCTTTCTCTGTTTTCTCTTCTCCTCCTACCACTCCTTCCCGTCTCTTCCCTCCCCATCTCTCTCTTTCCTTTATTCTTTCATTCTTTAGCTAATTAATACCTCAGCTTTCTTCTTTTATCCACCAGTTTATCTCTGTCTCTGTCTACTCTGTTCCTCATGTTATCCTTTCTTATATTCATCAACCATTACCTTCCTCGTTTGTCTCATTCCAGATTGTTGAAAAATATGGTCAATTATATATATTTTTTGTCATAAAGAAGGAAGATCAAGACCAAAAAATAACAAAAACATTGAAGAGGAAAGTCATTGTAATAATTAATCGAAGTTTAGAATAAAAAGTAAAGACTACAGTTAGTGTGTATTTCTGTGTTGTATCTTTTAGTCATTTTCCTTCCTTTCTTTCATTTTTGAGTAAATTTGTGTCTTTCACTTTCACTGTTCTTTCAATAACATACGACTGTTTTATAAATAGAAAATAAAATAACAAATGAATAACCCTATAAATCAATGTATTTTCCACGCTCACCTGTTCAATAAGATCTTCCAGCTTGGCCCTGACGGCGAGCTCCTTCTCGGGGATGCTCTGAGAGATGACATCCTGCGGCGATCCTGGGCGGGAGATGGACGCTGTGGCGGCCTCGCAGGCCTGCACGGCGAAGGCCAGGCGGGATTTCTCTCCCAGGAGCTTGCTGTGCCACGACTGCGGGGAGAAAGGGTCGTGGGGCGTTTAGCAAGGGGGAGAGGGGGAGGAATGCTGTCAAGGTGGTTGTGGTGAGAATGAGGGTCACGATGCAGTGCCAATGCTACTAATAATATGACAATCGGAATTAACAGTAATAATAACAACAGCATGGGAGTATTAACAGTCCTATAGGCAGATAAGACCGCGGCGCTTACCCTGGTACACTCGAGGTGGTACTTGGCCTCCTCCATGCTCTGGATGGTGGTGTCGTTCTCCTCGTTGATGGTGGGCTCCCACTCCTCGAGGTTCTTCTGGATAGACTCGAGGGTGGCCTCGTACTCCTCGAACTTGGCCAAGGACTCGTTGAGTCGCTTCTGGATGTGGTTGGCCGTCGCCAGGAGGGAGTTGTAGCTCTCCTGGATGTTGTGGAGCTGCCGCTCGATCTTGTCCTGGATGGAGGGCACCGTGCCGATGTAGCGGTCGATCTGCTTGCGGCCCTTGTTCTTGACCTCGTCCAGGGTCCCCTGGTACTCCAGGATCTCCTCCACCTCCTCGTTGTGGCTCTCGATCTGCTCCTCCGTCTGCTCGCGGTTGCAGATGTACAGCGAGTTCTCGGCCATGAGCTGGAAGCTGATCTGCAGCAGCCACTTCTCGGTGTCCTGCAGCGCCACCTGGTACTCGTTGAAGTCCGAGATCTCCTCCTCCAGCTTGCTGATGATCTCGTTGCAGAGGCTGTTGAGGCGCTCCCAGTTGGACTCGGCCTCCTCGACGCGCGTCAGGATCGAGCTGTTCTGCGACATCTCGGCGAACTCCTCGGCGTCGTCCAGCAGGGTCTGGACCTCCTCCTGCTTCTCCTGGATCTGCAGCGAGATGTTCTTGTAGCGCTCCAGGAACGTCTTCATCTCCGCCACCTCGCCGCGGGAGTCGGGCGTCTCCACCAGCAGCTCCTCCACCTCCACCAGCCAGGCGTCGAGGCGCGTCTGCGACTCTGCGAACTCCTCCCAGCGGCTCACGGCGGCCTGGACGCGGAAGAAGCGTAAGTGCCATGTTTTGGCATCATTAACACCCACCCTACGCAATATATTTACGAGAAAAAAATAAAAATAGACTTCAAACGAAAAAAGGAGAAGAAACTGATCAAAAACTACGGCCTCACCTTGAGCTTCGAAAGCGTGGAGTTGAGCGAGATGTTGAGTTGGTCCCACTCGGCGCGGAGTCTCGTGAACTCCGTGCGAATCAGCTCCTGCTGGTCTACCTGCGTCACGTTGAGGGCGCGGGTGTAGGCCTCCGCCAGGACACCCAGGAGGTGCTGGCCTTCGGAGAGGCGGGTGGATACAAGCTTCACCGTCTCCAGTTTGTCTCGGACCTGCGAGTTAGTGGGTGGGCGTGAGTTTTGTTTCAGGTGCGTGCTTATGAAAGTAACTAGTGTATATATATATATATATATATTTATATATATATATATATATATATATATATATATATATATATATATATATATATATAT